AAAAATTCATAAATAAAAATGATCGAAAAAGTATTAGAAGATATTTTAGATGAAAATTATTAGATGATCGAAATATTAGAAGATATTCTTCAAAATTCTATTTTTTGAATAACTTTTTATGCATTTACAAATTAGCAAATTAATTTGAAAAAAGTAAAATTTCTCGTCTAATTCGTTGAATGATGGTCTGCTAGATACACTTTTAATATTCTTGATTGAAAAGAAAATTCAAATATTTGATTATTAATACTTGTTTTATCATAGAATTAATTTTTCATTTTGAAAATCTATCATTAATTTAATTATTTAGTATAATCAAATTAAATTTTCCTAATCGATATTTAGAGAAAAAAAAATGATTGCTATTAAAGATGGAAGGATTTTATTGAAAAAATCAAGTAGAGGATTCTTTCAGTAAATATGAACAAAAAAAAAACTTTTTAACGTCGGCCAATTCCAGTTTGGGAAAAGTTGGCTAAAACACCAGCAAGATGAAGAACAGCAGCTAAATAAATAAATAAACATATGATAAGAAAAAAAACCAATAACAATCAATATCAAAAAACATACAGTTGAGTGCATTTTCAATTACAGGTTTCAGTTGGTTTTGATAGAGACCAGAGGCATGGTTAACAAGATTGTCGACGAGTTCTCCCCGAGCAGCATCATTCAATTCACGTTTACCAAGATTAACACCAGTGGTACCAATACCAGCGAGTACTTGAGCGGCCATAAGAGCACCACCTATGATAATTAAATCAATGATTTTATTTATAAATGATATTTTATACTAACTTTGAAGAGCTTGTTCAACTGGACCTTGAATTACATTTGTCCAAACACTTTGTAAACCATTGAGAAGATTTTGACCCAATGAATCAAAGAAACCACGGAGTTCTTCTTGACGACCAGCAAGTTCACTTAAATCTTGTCTACCAAGAATGTTTGATAAGTTAATACCATTAGTACCAATACCAGCAAGAACTTGAGCGGCCATTAAAGCAGTTGCTAAACAAAACAAATTCTTTTA